TTGCAGGTTTCGAGAGCTTTAGTCTCTGTCTGTAAGCAGGAACCAGATGTATCATGGAGTGATCTGAGAAGCCGAGGGCTGGCTTGGGAACAGCGCGAAAAGCTCCGCGCACGGTGGTGTAACAGTGATCCAGAGTGTTCTCCTCTCTGGTCGGGCATTTGATAAACTGTCTGTATTTGGGTAATTCCTGGCTCAAGTTTCCCTTATTAAAATCCCCCAGGATAATAATCAGAGAGTCCGGGTATAAGCGTTCCATACACAGTACTTGCTCTGCGAGTGCGCGCTGAGCCTCGCGAGCGTCCGCGCATGGCGGTATGTAAACAGAGGCAAGAATGAATGAAACAATTTCGCGCGGGGAGTAATATGGTTTACAATGAATGAAAAGATATTCCAGAGCAGGAGAGCAGTGCTTGGAGATCACTGTCACATCGTTACACCAGTTTGTATTGACGTAGAAACACAGCCCACCGCCTCTGCTCTTCCCTGAGAGCGCACAATGGCGATCCGCGCGGAACAGCCCAAAGCCCTGCAGCTCCAGAGCGCAGTCCGGGATCCGCTCATTTAGCCAGGTCTCAGTGAAGCAGAGGAGACAGGATGGGGCGAAGTCCTTGTTTCTTCTCATGAGCAGGCTGAGTTCGTCCATCTTATTGCCCAGTGAGCGTACGTTGGAGAGAAAAATGCCGGGGAGAGCCGTGCGCGCTCCTCTCCTCCTAAGACGCACGAGCAGGCCTCCGCGCTTTCCCCTTTTACGGGCCCACACTTTTTTGGCTAGAACATGAACTAAATCAGCCGCAGATGCCAAGAAAACAGGCAATAGGTCCATGGGAACGGTGGGTCGGATGTTCATAAGTTCCTCACGGGTGTAGGAACAGCCAGATGCGCAGTTAAAAAGTAAAAACAAAAGAAAAAGAGAGCAGCAAAGAGCCATGTCGACCGTACGAGGCGCCATCTTTACTAACCAGTTATTTCCAGGATTACCACAGACTAGTCACAAATCCAGAGCTGGGTGATCTCCCTGAAAACTGTGAGCCTCCAGCTGCCTTTGAATTCTTTCTTTTGGCCTGAAGAGAGGAACGTGTGGACCTCGTCCACCGACCAGGACCAGGACTTTTGGGGCTTTCTGTGCAATTCCATTTCTCTGGAGTGAGGAGGACGTAATGTAGCCGAAGCAGAGCCGAGCAGAGCAGAGCAGCCGGTTTTAAAGATGGCGGTTGAGTTGTTTTTCCCAAAGGGTCAGATGTCGCTTCCAGTGACGACACTCGTTGACCAATCAGTGTAAGGCAGTGGGCCGACGTGACGTCATGGCACGGGTACTATGGGGATGGAACCACGGCTGAGGCAGTACGGAAAAGTACTCAAATCTCCCATACCATCCACTAGTGGAAACGCAAAATAACCGTGCTGAAGCGTACTGTACTGTACCGTACTGATACTGTGGAAAAGCCCTTAGATTCAAGCACTTTCAAGGTATAACGGGATTTTTTTAAAGTAACTAACGCTTTAGATTATACAAACAATAATAGACATACATGAATTAAATTGGACGCGCTTTGGCCCAAGAAACTGTAGGCTGTAGGTCACAAACACAACCTAAATCCAGGTTACAACGGGCCTAGGCCCTCATTGCGAATAGATCCGGGCTTTAGGTGACGTGTGGCCGCGGCAACCTTGGGCACAGGTGGGCGGGTCGATGTGGCAGGGAGTGGGGGATGAGGTGTGGTGGGGACGTGATATTGTGTGTCGCATTACGTCTTCCTGCTGTGCCCGTTGTGACGTGCATTTTTGCACACATCTCTATCTAGCTGTCACATACTTTCGCTTTCTATTCTCCCTTGTGTAACTCCCCTCTGTTTTGACCCTTGTGTCACAGTGCGGTGCTATTCCAATAGCACTTCAAACTGTTGCTCAAGAGTCAGACTTTATTTTTTTGCAACAAAAAAACCAACATACGCTTGTATCCTGCTTGTAATCGCTTCAGCATTACAGACAACTTATCAAGGGAAATGCATTGGTTAATTTATCACCCCCTGACCATAGACCTACAAGCCACCCCCCCCCACCAAAAATAAATGGGAGAGGCTTATTGTGGTCCGATTAGTTCACATTTTACTTGTGGGTACAACCAACATGCATTGTTAATGCAAGGGAAATTTTAGGTACCCCAGCTTTAATCTTGTGTTTTATTTTCAGTGCTCCAGTAAGAGATCCTACAATCCTCCTATAATCCAGCTCTGTTTCTTGCATCGGCGTATTTATCGCGTGCACAGGTCCTGTCGCATTGGGTTACATCTACACTACAGAGCGGCTGCAATTTCTCTGGGGTCAGAGCGCGGAACGCAGAATAGCGCGTCCCACTATCTGACGTAGGCTAATATCACTTTTAGACTATAACCCCTTAGCTAACGTTAACTCAAACTAAACATATCAATTGGCTAGCCTAGCGTTAGGTATTCATGCTGTAGGATAGCAATAACTTTTTCAATTATCTTTGGCATGGCTTTTAAGTGCGGCCCATAGTACACTGATGTCCCTTTTACAGACCGTGCTGTACCCACGTTTCTCATTTCAGCCTTGCCGTAACCAAACTTTGTACTTATCATTTCCTACTTAGCATGTTCATTTCGGCCGCGATAAGGACGTACATGCTGTCACTGAGAAGCGGAGTGATCCTCTGGTGGCACATATGCGCAAAACACAGGAGTAACATTTTCATAGGCAATGGAGTCAAAATTAATTAAATTGCTCTTAGCCTATTGTCCTATGGGTATATCAAAACACTGTAAAGTTTGAGAAAATCAAGCTTTTTTTGCACACTGTTCAAAATTCAAGCACATTCCAGAGATTGAAAACACCTAATTGAAAATCAAGCATTTTCCCGACTTTCCCGACATTTTCCCGACTTTCAAGTATCTGTACTAACCCTGTGATAAAATATTCGACTGGATCTGGTCTTATCCACATTTAGCAAACTTTGAAGATCTTTATCAATAATGGAACACGCTTTGAGCATGTTCTCATCAAATGACTGAAACAAAATAATGCAATAAAGTCACGTTATTAGTATAGACTTTTACTACAGACAAGTACAAAGCAGAAATTGCTCTGGCTTTGACTTGTCCTGGGGCATCTGTGTCAATCCAGCGCCTCCCCACTGCACATGATTACAGTGCACTATATGAACTGTGGTCTAATCCTGTCGGACAGCGCAAATTAAACCCAGGTATGGGCCCTCTGTCTTCCCAGAATTCCCTCTGATAACCCCCTCCCCTGCTGAGCAAACTCATTTGTTTGGGAGGAAAATTACTCTCCAACTTTCTTGAGATTAATGTTTGTTTAGAATAGAACCATGGCTATGGCAAAATCATGGCAAAATGTCAACTCATTATCAGAACGTGTCTTAAGAACTCAACAGCTTTGGCAATGTCGGAAATACTAGAAATCTTGTAATTACCTAAATAATTTATCAGTTTGGACAGCTGTGCGCCTTTGTGGTTACTGTGAACTTTTGCAATGGGTGCGGTGGTGCTGGCTGGGGAAACGTACTTGTTAAATATAATATACAAGCACTGCCAGGACATAACAGCAATTTATAATATAACCAAACTCTACTGCGATAATTATGGGTATGGCTATATTAGAGGAATCTTGTGGCTTTCACCTAATTAAAGGCTTTTAGTATTGAAGAGTTATCTGCTGCCCTTATGTTTACCATATTGCACATTCGCTTCATAATTTAACAACTTTAGAATTTGATCCAGAAGCATACATTACTGAGCCGACAGGGAAATGTTTGACCCCTCCATCTCATTCTACTTATCTTGTGTTATGACGGTTTTATATATATTATGCTTTTTCTTAAGCCTCACAGATTCCTCTGCAGCTTTTCATTATGTTATTGTATTTATTTGATACATAAACTGTATATTAGGGGGTGGACTAACCCAGTGCTGATGTCACCCATATTGTTTCCTAAATGTGGAAGAAGCCGATTTGAACTTAAGCTAGCTGGAGCCAATTTCTTTATGTGCTTTTGTTCCTACTGGGATGTGTTGCTATGATGGTTACCAAGGCAAGTACGAATTACGCTTACAAATAAGGCATATGATTAGTCAAACCTTATGGCTCATATATGGACTTACTTAGACATTATTAGATAAGAAGGATCAGGATCATAGACAACAGATTTTTTCAAGCAGATCAAGCCAGAGCGAGTTGGAGAAAAACTATACTTTTTTTGTGATTCTCAAAAGCCAAGATATTTGTTGTTAGATCGAACAGTTTGTCATACAGAAATTGTAAAAAGTCAGTCGCACTTGTGTTGTTATGTGTTATTTTCCTTCAGTAGTTATCTTATTCTCCCCAAAAGTTATTTTTAATTGGATGCTTAAAGGGAAGGTATTTGAATACTCTGTTTAAAAAAAAAACACTTGACAGACCATTGTTGCATCTTTACAGCTACATTATTCTATTAGAACAGGGGTCTATTACCTTTTTCACCCATAGAGCTACTCTTTTAAGTGGTCTTGGGATAAAAAAAAAAAGTAAATATTTTGGTTAGAGCGAGCCTGCAATTGGGTGTTGTCACTATCAACAGCCATAATTTATCATCACATATTCATTACAAGCGCAAATACTTTTGGGAGCTACCTGGAAGGGGCTGGCAAGCTACTGGTAGCTTCCGAGTTATAGATTAGAGACACCTGGATTCTGAACACATTTGGATTTAGGCTTCTTAAAGCTGGGGTAGGCTGCATAATTAACTTTTTTAGTTAATGAGTAATAAGTGTTGGTGGTTCCCTCTTTTTCACTTTACTAAACTCATGCACACACAACAAAAAGTTTCGAGGGAAACATATTTTGTTAGAAGAATTGTATTACGTAGTTCAATTTATTGTGGTTTAAAAAGTAATCCAGAAGAAAGTTGTATGTATCTTCCAAACCTCTTTTCACTTTTCCTAATTGGCGTTACCTCGGCACGTGCCCTTTCATTTCTGCAGCGGATGGTGACAGACATCCGCTCCGGCCTATTGGGACTCTTCAAAGGGCGCGAGTCCCGCCTTCTTCCCTCCTCTCCACTCTCCGTGTAGAACCAGCGCAGATCCGGGGGTCTGGAGGTTGCAGCAGAGAGTGCGGGGCTGTTTGTCATTTTGGCAGGACACACTCCCACGAGAAACTACCCACCGACTTGTTGCTGCCTCTACGCACGTACTTTTGGAGCTATCACTTCACGGTTCTCGACACGGAGCAGTTCTATTCGCATTGTTTGCATTGTTCTGTGTCTGAAAAAGCGATCGCCGCGTGTTGGGAGACTGTGGCAGAAGCGAGGCACCGGGAGAAACAAAAACACGGTATGATCGCTATCCAAACTTGCTACTATTGTGTACCTTAGGCATTTGACTCGCTCGCTGCGCAAAAGCGGGGATTTGGCAGCGGTGATCCAGGGTCGCTCCGTGATTTGGCCCCACTGTATGCGCACTTGTGGTCAGTGGTGAAAGATAATGATTTATGAGAAGTTTGGGCACTTAGGTCTACGTAGTGAAGCGTCGCAAAGTCTGTCCAGAAGTTTGGGTTGAGGAAAGAGCCAAAATAATTTTAAGGTAGTGGGTGTAACGAGAGTGGAGATGTGAAAGTAATCGAAATGGCAATGTAGACATTCTATTGAGTTTATATTTAATGAAGAAATATTAAATCTTAAGTGATTTAATTGGAAAGTGGTTTGTGAATGTATAAATACGTTATTATTAACTTTACTGCACTAGGTACATTGGTGTGTCATTACTACTTTACTACTAGGACAAATAAAAAGTGATTTCTTGTAATGCTTTCAGTTTATGTTCATTAGTTAGTAAGTACCTTTTGAACCGCTGCTGACTAAAATAGTCAAACAACAGAACATACCACTTAGAAAATTCATGATTTATTATGATTGAACAATAAATGTCTCTTTTAACAATCAACGGTTCTGTGGTTTTCAATACAAACTAGACACATGCTTGCTCGGTGATTGGACTCTGAATCTGATGATGTTAACATTTTCATTCAGGGTTACCATCTAAGAAAATGTATCTATACAAAATTAGACCAGAATTAGGAATGAAGTAAGACCAGACAATACAGAGACAAGTTGCTTTTAAATAATGAAATTAGCAAACATATTTTCCTCTGATGAAGTAAAAATTTTTTAGTGTTTTGGTATAAAGTGTCCATTCACCAGTTACCACAAATATTGACACATTTAAGATTGTGTTTTAATGTTAGTTACTGTGTATTTTCTCCTTTCAATATGTAGTATAATTTTAGTAAAGTTGCACATTTATGTAGTAGTTTTTGGCCTAGTTGGTGATTATTCGAGCACTGGTTCATGATAACTGCGGTAGATGACCACTGCTGTCACTTTGGATCAACCAAACTAATATGTCAACTAAAGGCAAAATTTTGCACACATTCAGATTTTTGATAAATGTACATGACATCACATACGCTTTACTCTCGTATCATGTAAGCACTTTTTGTCTGCAGCTTAAGTTGAGCGTTTAGTTCCCCTCTGTCACACTTCTGCACCTGTCATCAAACTCATCACATTGGACACGTTTTGAGGTGATGGAATGATTACGACGACGGCTTGTCTTCTCACCATTGACCTTTTCCGCTACACGTTGTAGCCTCCAGCCACGGGAAAATATTCTGGATAGCCCGAAGAGGAGTTAAAAAAATGTGTCAAATCACTCCTGACAACCACAAACATGTCTATGGCCCTGTGTCCCACTATTCTTATAGGACAATCCAACTCTTTTGGGTGTTTTTATCAGCAGAAAACATGTGATTATTAACTGGCTCTTGACTGATTGCTGGTAATTTCGGCCGATTAGCTTTAATTAAAGGGAGCTGGGTGCGCTGCCTTGTTGTTGCCTGTCGCCTTGGGTCTCTGCGCTTCTCACAGCCCCATAATCATCCGCTGAACACATGAAAGAGCATCACCTGCCTTTTCCACATCAGCGAGCCTGGGAAGAAGAACTGATCGCTCTGCTCAAGATACCCATCATGAAATAAAGTTGTAGTCTGTGAATATTTGGGTTTTTAAATGTTGTATGTTCACACTTGTAGAAGGGCTGCCAAACCGTATCTGCCCAGTGACTGTAACTACTGATTGAGCAAAGTTTTACACATGGATATAATAAGATATATGTGTTATTTAATGAACCTGTTAATTACAAAACTGTTTTCTTTCTAAGTTATACCCAGACAGTCCCATGTCTCACCTGCCTGACAGCACACAGCCTGAGCTAAATTCCTCCAGTTCAGACAGTGCGCTGACTTTGTTGTAGTATAGTTGTCCTGTGTCTCGCCTGAATGTCTATATAAAGATTTGTATTGTCTCCCATAGAGTACCTCTTGGGAAATTTTCCTCATTTGAGTATGTCTCTTTTAAAATAGAACAAAAACAATCTTCTATTCTTATTATTGTTGTGTACAAGCCGCCACAGTCATGTCATAGTTTCACTGATCATTTCACCGAGTTGCTTTCAGTTGTGTGCACAGACTTTGATAGTTTAGTCGTCATAGGTGATTTTAATATACATGTAGATAACGTTAATGATAGATACGCGAAAGAGCTGAGCTCTGTGCTGGAAACCTTTGGTCTCACTCAGCATGTGAGTGGCCCCACCCATAGCAGAGGACACACTCTCGATCTGCTAATTACTAAAGGGGTTAATATCTCAAATGTAAATGTGGCCAATGTTGCTCTGTCAGATCAATTCTGTGTATTTTTTGATATGTGTCTCAATAGTAAAGCACGAGCTGAATCCTCAATTGTTAGAAGAAGAAGACACATAAACAAAAATACAGGTGAACTTTTCATGGGGATGATAAACTTTGATAACACGTTGTGTTCTACGGTGGATGAATTACTTAACTCTGTCACCTCTAGTGTTTTGGATGTTCTGGACACGATTGCTCCTGTAAAGGTCAAAATTGTTACAAATAAGCAAAAGGCGCCATGGACAAAAGCAGACTCTGTCAGGGCACAGAAGAGAGAGTGCCGGAGAGCCGAGCGGAAGTGGCGAAAGTCAAATCTCCAAGTTGACCATGAGATCTTCAAAGATGCATTGTGCAAGTTCAACAGTGTGCTACGTAGAACGAGGGAAACTTATTTTTCCGAAACAATCGAAGGTTGTAGTGGCAATCTACGCGTTCTGTTCTCAACTGTAAATAAATTGACAAATCCCCCTGTTAAGATGCCATCAGAGCTTACCTCCAAAACCAAATGTAATGAGTTTGCAGAGTTTTTTAATGACAAAGTCCAAGGCATCAAAAATGCCATCACCTCCACAGTAGAAATTACAATCCAACAGCCAGTGAAGCTTTTTGGGCTGACACACTTTACACCAGTACAAAATGAAACTGTCCAAATGATAATTACAAGTCTGAGTTCTTCTACATGTAGCCTGGATGTATTACCTCCTAGATTTCTTAAATCTGTTCTGAGCAGTCTTTTACCTTCACTCACGCATATAGTAAATATGTCTCTTGAATCTGGAACATTCCCAATGGCCCTGAAAACGGCAGTCATCAGACCCCTCCTAAAAAAGAGGAGTCTGGATGCCTTGGCACTTAAAAGTTATCGGCCCATTTCAAATCTGCCTTTCATGGGTAAAATTCTAGAAAAAGTTGTCTATCAACAACTTACAGAATTTTTAATAATCAATCACTCTTTTGATATGTTCCAGTCTGGTTTTAGACCCCACCACAGCACAGAGACCGCTCTAGTGAAGGTAACAAATGACATCAGACTTAACACTGACGCAGGAAAAGTCTCAGTTCTTATCCTGTTAGATTTGAGTGCTGCTTTCGACACTGTCGATCATGGTATCCTCATTCAGAGACTTGAGGACTGGGTTGGTGTTTCTGGAACAGCCCTAAGCTGGTTTATATCCTACCTACAGGACAGAAAGTATTTTGTGGAGATCGGAAACTGTGTCTCAGACCATCTGGCCCTGACCTGCGGAGTGCCACAGGGCTCAATCCTGGGGCCTCTCCTGTTTAATATTTACATGCTGCCTCTGGGTAGGTTAATACACAGTAATAACGTGTCCTATCACAATTACGCTGACGATACTCAGGTCTATGTGTCCCTGACAGCAGGAGAACATGGACCAGTGGACTCGCTCCTTCACTGTATCCAACAGATCAGTGATTGGATGCAAAATAACTTTCTCCAGCTAAACACAGAAAAAACTGAAATTATTGTTTTCGGACCTCAGAAACAAAGAGAGAGCGTTATCTGCCACCTCCAGTCTCTCTCCCTGAAACCCTCAACTCAGGTCAGAAATCTAGGAGTAATAATGGACTCAGACTTGAATTTCAATAGCCACATATCATCTGTGACATCATCAGCTTACTTCCACCTAAGAAACATTGCTAAAATTAAAAACATTGTGTCTAAAGCAGACTTGGAGATTCTTATCCACGCATTTGTCTCCAGTCGATTGGACTACTGCAATGGCTTGTTCACAGGTCTCTCTAAACAAGCGGTAAAACAGCTGCAGTACATCCAAAATGCTGCAGCTCGAGTCCTGACTAGAACCAGGAAGTACGACCACATTAGTCCGGTCCTCAGGTCTCTGCACTGGCTTCCTGTGGCTCAGAGAATAGATTTTAAAGTAGCTTTACTTGTGTACAAGTCTCTCCATGGCCTCGCACCAGGGTACATCCGCGACATGTTGGTGCCATATGAACCAACTCGGGCTCTGAGGAGCACAGGGACTGGACTTCTGTTAGTGCCAAGAGTCGGAACTAGACATGGGGAGGCTGCGTTTCAGATTCATGCAGCTAGAGTCTGGAACCGTCTTCCCGAGAGTGTGAGACAGGCGTCTACTCTAGCAGTTTTTAAAACTGAACTGAAAACAGTTCTTTTTAGCTGTGCATACAAGTGAATGATTTTACATTTGTTTTTATCTTTAATCTTTTTAATGCGCTATGATTATTTATGATTATTTATGATTGTAATCCCTTGTGTGATTTTAATTTTTTACGGTTTTTAACTACTTGTGTGATTTTATATATCTTGTGCTCTTAATCTGTCTTTTTATGTTTACTTAAATTCTAATGTTTGATGATTTATGCATGATGTTATATGGGTTGTGAGGCGCTTTGCGTTGCCTTGTGTAGGAAAGGCGCTCTATAAATAAACGTTGATTGATTGATTGATTGATAAGAGTTTGTGATTTAGAAATGGCCATAGTACGTACTGGGCTTCAACTAATTATTATTTTATGAATTGATTAATTGTTTCAGCTCTATGTATGCATGATAAATTCAGCAGTGATTAGCCTTTAGTTTACTGACACCCATGGGACCACAACAGCTCTTCATGTGTATTTTCTCTCCTGCTCCAGATGTTTTATTTACTTTCTTCTCAATCCATTTTTCGCTCAAGCTTCTGTGCCTCTGGTTTTGTGGAGAAAAATATATAGAATAGACAATCATGTGACTTCAAAATGTGTCAAGCAAACATTAACATGGAAATTAATGTTATTCTTAACATTTGTTGATTGGAATGTTTAGTTTAGTTAGACATAAGTTTGATTTCTTCAGCTGGGATCATTTTTCCCTACAATACTGTACACGGATGCTCTTTTGGGTGAGGTCAGCATGTTCTGCTTTGTGTGTATCAGGCAGGTTTGTTCATTTTGGTGCTTTTAAAGCCCTTATGTTGTGTTTAGCTCTCATGTCCCATTTTTTTCGTAATATTCTATCTCAAATACTATTTTTCTAAGTTTCTGTCTGTCACTGTTCAATGCTGTTTAATAGTTTGATAAATCACTTGAATGTTCATTTCCTGTTATTTCCTTTTACCCTGGCTGCGTAGCTCACACATGTTGCACACTTGTAATTATTTGTTGTGGCTCTTCTGGGCTTTTTCATGGTGCCACTGCTCACAGTGGCTGTAAGACATCAGTGACATAATTCCTATAGGCTGAGAAAAATATTTCAATGATTTATTTATTTTTCAATTAAGGGTATATTTCATGTGAGGCATGGCTTGTTCATTGTGTAAAAATGAAAATGTCTCTGTGTAAAGCGTTTCTAACCAGCTTGATTTGTAATCATGAAAGTACTTCAATTACATTGTGCACAGCAATTTTTTTTTTTACTTTGCTTTTACCATTTTTAACAAAACAAAAAGATATACATGGTGAGAAGTCTTGCGCCTGTGACCAAAACTTTTTAAAGAGTGCAAAGAAAACTGTCTTAAAGGGCATAAAATAAACAATCTATAAACTGAAACTTGCACAACTCTTTAAAATAATGATGAAGTGGATTATGTGGATTTGAAGATAACTTTATGGTCCATTCTGTATTTGTTTTTGCATAACAAGAAAAAACACTAAAACATATCTGGTTGGTGAATAAAATATTTCCAAATGATCATCTGAACAAAAAAAAAAAAAAAAAAACTGCATGATCTAGATTTTTTTTGATCAATATTGTCGACCCCTATCCTTGACGTAAAATTGTTTTCAGGTCCTTTCAGTCAGTCCTTTGTATCTCTGTGCAACCATTACTTTAATGCATGTAACCCAAGTCGCGGACATGGGGGCTGTAACTATTATAATGTGAACCTTCTGTTTTCCCTTTTCTTTGTTGAGACCTGTCGGGACACTAGTTTTCCCTTTGTGTGTTGTGGTCCCTAAATCATCTATTTGGAGTAATTGTCACGGCCATAAAGCTCAGTGCAGCTGGCCAAATGTTTCAAGGAGGCAGTAATTAAGCGTTTTCTTGGATGCCGAACTTCAAACGAGATTCTTTCACATGCTTGTTTTCTCCAAGATAACATTTGTGTATTTGCAGAAGTCTCTATTGGCATTGCGTCGGCGTGCGCTAAATCATAACCTTTCCAGTCCAAGTTCAGAGGCCAAGTTCCACTTTAGGATTTAGAGCCGTAAGAGCTGCACAAGGCACCAGCTGTACATAAGGTTTTCTGGGATTTGCAAGTGCTTGATTTCCAGTTTCCATGGTTTAAATTTGCTGAGAGCACAGTTACAACTCCCTCACAATTGTCCCGTTATTCATAAGGGAAAGATGTATTTATAAAAAAGTCCTTCCTTCTAACTAGCTTTAATGTGTTCACTGTTCACAAGTATAGTGAACAAAGTATCAGTTTAGCAGATTTTGTGAATGTATTATGTTTATTTTAATCAGATGTTGATTTTGATCAAACTACTTAGACCCTTTGGTTGTTTATTGGTTATACCATGCTAATGGTATGCTAGAGGTTTGAAGTTGACTACATCCCCCCAGTGACATGACACTAAATCTTTCAGGGCTCCAACTGAAACATATTTTGATAACTGATTGAATCTAGTAATTATTCCGTTGATTAGTCGATTTAGTTCAAATAGCTAAATTTAAAGTGAAGCTGCTAGATAACTTTTTAATGGATACTATTTCCTTACAAAACTATATAATTATTAAATTGATTTCTTGTTTTGTTTTTTAATTACTGTTGAGTCTTAACACATGTCACAGCCCTTAGATGTGTTGGAGTCGGTAAATAGAGCAGTCAGCAATAGTTTGTGCATTAGTGGAATATTTATTCTTTTTAAATAAATTAATAGCTACTGCTATTTTTTAATCTCTTTAAGAATAGCTTTTGAAAAATTCTTGTCTTATTTCCAAGCCGTTTCTGGAGCTGAAGAAGTCTTTGTTGAATTGTGAAGGATGTGGGATGATGCGCAGATGCTACATCTCACATGGGAGTTGGATGCTGAACAACAGCTGACCATTTCAACACTCTTATCTTCACATTATCATATTTTCTTGCATCGTCCTTGTGGGGACCCATCCAGAATGCCTCACTTTTTACCTTTTTAAAGACTTAATTCAAGCTGCTCTGTGTTGTTAAAGCATTTCCACAAAATATTGGTATTTATAGTGTCCATTCTCTTTCCTGTTTCTAGCTTTACAGAGATGGCAAAAATCACTCTGGGCTTAGGAAGTTGTGAAAAGTGCTCCTAACTACCAAGCATAACAACAATGTTTGATAGGCATTAGAATGTATATTGTAACTCTTGCAAATCCCAATCTTTAACTATTACAAACTATATTATTTTAATGGTGGTTATCATGTCGTCATTATCATTATCATTTCCTTTTGTTTCCCCATAGAACTAACCTTCTCCTTGCTGGCCTGATTGAAAGTGGACTATGGCGCTAAACGATGCCAGAGCAGACCCTCCAGCCTTCACCAACGGGGGGCGCCACTCTCGCTCCTGCGGCAGCGTCCACTCATCTCCTAAATCCGAGACGACGGTTTGCAACGGCAAAGATCCGCTAACGGCAGCTTCCAGCGGGGACTCCGTCACCACTGACAACGATGACGACAGCAGTGGCATTGATAAAACGAGTGAAAACCCTCACAAACCGAACAAACCAAAGAAAAATGGCAGCGTTGTGAAGCAGAACGGATTGTTGAAACACATTTCATCTCCTAAAAGCCAGCAGGCTTTACCTCTCCAGCCCAGAGGTGTTTGTTGTAAACAGTGCCACTACCCCTCCGTCCTGCCCTTATGTCAGTGTGGTCAGCCGGACTGCCCGCTGTTCAACACTCTCCCGGTGCCTTGTGTGAGGGCCGGGAGCTCCCAAACCTGCCCGTGCTGTGCTCCACCATGCAGCTACCCACCCCAGTTCCCTCCCACACTCTGCACTCAGCAGCGACACCACCAGCAGCAGCGGTGGCAAGAGCATCTGCACCGGCACGCACACGGGCCCAACCTCAGGTAAGATCAGACTATTTATCTAAAGGTTTGCAGCCCACCAACATAATTTGGGATAAGTTATGGGCAGAATGTGACAGAATTCTCAGGAAACCCTACCCTAATAGAAATGGGAAAAGGAACAAATTATTTATTTAAAGAATGGAAAAGCACCTCTTGGAGGAGGTCTGCGGCGGAGGTATGTCCTCCAAGCATGCAACGTTGCAATATTTTTTTAATCTTTTTTTATTGTACATAATATATCCTGAAAAGAATATATTTGCACACTTCTGTATCTTGTACAAATCTTGAGTGATTCTATCCATGCCAAATTTGACATGAAAATGTCTCCTGTGTGAGATCAATAAAGTCTATCTTATCTTATCTGATCTTATCTTATACCAGCATAATATGGTATTCATGGTTGTGGACTCAAGAAAAGTCTTTTTTTTTTACCATTCGTATTTACATTTTGATTAAAAAGACCCAAGCTAAGTATTGACTAGTGTTCTCACAAGTAACAAAAAATTAAAACTAAAATAATTAACCTAAAAATGACTAAATCTGGCATTTTCTTTTGAATTATATTCTAAAATGTAGGTAAAGTACAGCCTAATGTTCTAAAATAAAGGATTTTAGAATACTCACTACGGCATTGAGTCTACTGAGCATTGTGACTACATTAAAACTAACTAAATAATGACTTTTGACAAAATTATGAATTTCAATAGAATTTTACGACGTCACATTCGTTCAAATGCTCGGCCCTGGTTTCATACTCATCAATGCAGAAAGCCTCCGAAGTCTCTGGCAGTGCTGCAGTTGTTCCGGGTTTTGCTTACTTTTGGTGAAACACATTTATAGTGATTTATTTGGTGTATTCTTGGTCAGTTTACGTCAGCTGAGTTTCTTGTGTACATGTTGACTGTAGCTGGATTCCCACTTTAGGAAACACAGCTCTCTCAGTGCCTCTCCGTGGACCAAAAGCCCTCTGTGTACGGCTGTTTGGTCGTGTCACTTCCATTTTTAGGCCCAATGTGGAACCAGCTTACATGCTAGGCCCTCCACTTGAATTAACACCCAGCATAAATGCATGTTTGTAGTTTGAGGGATTTTTTATGCGACACATATTTAGCCATTGTATTTTTTGTGCTGGAAGCTGACATCGTGGACTTACATGCATCTATTTCCAAATGATTCAATTATGTACAATATTTAGTTCTCAATTTCATACATTTTTGACGAGCTCAGTTCTGTTTACTTGATAAACATATATCACTGTACTCCTTTCTATTAATATATGTCCAACATATTTTCAACACATTTATCAATCTAGGTACTAAAGATTCATTGGTTTAGTTCTGTTTAGTTGGTTTTAGATCTGCATGATCCCATAATTTCTGTTTGGCCAATGGGCTGAAAAAAATTCTCATCGGCAAAGGTATTTTTCTAATTGTAGTTATTTTTAAATGTTTTCAAATGTTAAAGTCTGAGTTATTCAAGGCCACATACGCAAATAAATAAATATAAGAAATACACCCAGAATGGTGACTCTTCATTTTGACGAACTATTTCAATGTAATTTAAATTAATCTGTTCTTACTACAGAAAAGGATTTAAGATGAGGGCACCATGGCTAATACTACTGCATGGATCTGCAGGTAACATGAACTAAATGCTTTAACACTCAGTCCATAAAACACAGGGGTAATCCAGGGAACAGTAGGATGCCACACTTCAAACGTTTTAGAGCCTAAAATATTCCCTGCAGCCAAATGATGTGAAGTTGATAGATTTCTACACATCACACACTTTGTAGCAACAAACTCTTTAGCATGACATTATTTCAAGTCTAAAATTGGTAAATCCACTGCTTATGTAAGCCTGGTATAAACCAGGCTGTGTAGTGCATGGCCTCTTACCAAAAAATTAGATGTGCCTTTGTGTAATCATTAATCTTAGATTAAACCTATTGCAATATTCTTGTTGAAATTGTCCAATGCAGAAGAATATGAATAGTATTATATTGGAGCAGATTACTGTTTAATACTGTTAATTTTAGCATTCTAATCTAATCATAGCGTCATCTAAAGCAGCCGGTTTAGTCCAAGACAATTGGTGTTGAAAGTTGTGGTCTCATGTGAAAGTTTGGGCAGGCACGACTGGTGGTGAATAAATGCCTCCCCCTTACACTTTAATTTTTGACTACTTTTACAGTATTTTTTTTTCTCTTTCTTGCGGCTTGTAAAGTGAATGCAGATGTGGCGGTGGGTCTACGGTTCCCAACGTTAAAGCAAGTCGTATTCGACAACAACTTTCAATACTTTTTGGTTTTCCCGTTGACATTGAAAGAGGATAAGCCCTTTTATATATAGGGGATGGAGTGTAGGGTCTGTGTTTTGTACGAGTTATTGAGTGTATGTGTGAGAGCGGTTGGGACCAAATGAGCGTCTTTTGTCCAACCCCTTTCCAAACTGTATTTCTGTTTAATTTTGTCTTTTGTTGAAGGCAGTTTGAAATAAATAATTATTCAACTATAATTTATTGCTCTAGAGATATTGTTGAATCTACGTAACACCACTGGCACGATGATATGATAAAGGAAAACCCTGTGGTTTTTAAAATTGAGCTGGACTGACACAAATCAACATCAAATAAAGCACTAATTAGCCATAAATGTGACTCTATTCATCTCTCTACAAGATAATTACAATCTTATTGCAAAGGAAATGGAAAAAATGAACAAACAAATATTTAGCCCATACCAGAGGTGTGGTTTTGCCCATACCAGACGGTCATGATTTTGACTTTAGAATCGACTTGACAAAATATGAAACGACTTGCAACTCGACTTGGACTTTGACATCAATGACTCTGAATGTCACTTGGACTTGCGCCTATTGACTCCCATTAACTCATTGCCTGCCAGCCTATTTCAGAACAGGTACTCCCATATTGCCAGCCGTTTCTGATGGTTTTTTACTGATTTTTCAAGACCCACAGAATATTGTGTACTGTGACTATCTGAAATCCGAATTGTGAAGATTGTGAAAGAATGGACTGTCTACTTTCATCAGCAAAAATAATTTTGTTTCTAGCTTGTTTCGTTCCCCTGTAATCCCCAGTCAAGTAGAGGGAAGTTTTACTGAAATCAACAAAAAGCTGAGAAAAAAGAGGCCCAACAAGTGCATCCTGTTTTCAAAACATAGAGGCAGCGCTGGTGCCACCTGCTGGCTCAACAAGATATGCTCTAAAGCTAATCCCCATACATATTAGATACAATAGACATCTGGGAACATGAAAATAGCGGAACACGTCAATGGCAGACAACTGTACTCTTTGGTTTGACATGTTTCCTCGTCAATGGCAGTTAATGAGTTAAAACCCCAGAGATAGAGCAGTCTGTTGACACAGTCTGGTCCATCTCTGTTTAATGTGTGTGGTACTGTGCATGTGTGACAAAGAGCCCGCATTCAGCACAACATCCAATCAAATCACGTAGATTGTTTTGATTCGACTGCGGCCAAGCTATTAGTCCATGGGCCAGACTTGAAAAGACTTGAGACTTGTTGGCTTTTGACTTGGGACTCAACTCAGGACTTGCCTGTCTTGACTCGGGACTTGACTTGAGACTTGAGGGCAATAAATTTAGACTAACTTGTGACTTGCCAAACAATGACTTTGTCCCACCTTTGGCCCATACTATTGAAGAAGATGACATATTCTGGGATTGCGTCTTTAATTCAGACAGAAGACATGTTTTATTGTCAATGGTAGAGACAGCACGAACACGAACACAGATACAATAGAATGCAAGTGTTTTATACAGAGCGGAGGCATGGAGACCTCCAATCAGCAGCTGCCACGGTGCCATGTAGCTTGGCCAAAACAAGGGAAAAGTACTGGCTTCTGCACATTGATAGAATGATGAGTTTAACTTTAACAAAAGTTGCTTCAAAGTGTTATGAAATCTCACACTATATTGTACCATTGACGATAGAACAATAAACTGGAAATTATAGCAACACACCAACCATATCTTGTATTCTATTACAAGAAAAAAGAGCGTAGGCTTGGTTTAACTTCAAAAGGATCTCACTGATATATGAAACAATGAAATTATCAGAGTCTGTGATTTTTGGATTAGTACTCCCTATTCTCACTCACAGGCAGAACTCTAGGGATTTTTACTACGAGGAATTTTTACACCCCTGCTTTCAAGATCATGCATAGTAACCCATTTATGGAGATTAGCACTTTGTAATGCGGCTATTTTTACCCACATACCGAAATCTTTTCATCACAAAAATGTTCTCTTTTTTGTTACGTTGAGAAATGTACAATTATGGCATGAGCTGGTCTGGAAAAGCATTCTGACAAAGTGTGTGTGTATGTGGAAAGTAAATTGGACAGTATTTCTTGAAGAGAATCAGTAGTAAGTTTATAGCACCAATTGTCATCCACACCACCAACCAAGTATTCATCTATAACGAGATAGTAATTTTTGCTATCTTTTGGATACTATATCAAATGTATATGGGCTTTTTTGAACATTAAAAAAAGTTTCAAATTGATTGCCCCCTTTGAACAATTATGTTTTTGTTTTCAATCCAATCCAATCCAATCCACTTTATTTATATAGCACATTTAAACAACAGTTACGTTTCCAAAGTGCTGCACAAAAAAGTATAAAATAAATAACAACTTATCCTTAGCTTCACCAAGTATAAAAGAATAAAACATATATAAAACAGATTAAAACCATAAATAGAAAAATAAAAACACAGAGGACCACACAACTCACACAGTGTTAAAAGCCAAAGAGTAAAAGTGGGTCTTAAGACGAGACTTAAAACACTCTACTGTGGGGGCCGTCCGGACATGGAGGGGAAGAGCGTTCCAGAGCTTAGGGCCGACCACAGAGAAGGCTCTGTCCCCCCGGGTTTTAAGTCTCGCGTTAAGGACCACGAGCTGGAGCTGGCTCTCGGACCTCAGGGCGCGCGCAGGAGTGTAAATTTGGATGAGGTCCGAGATGTAATCAGGGGCCTGTCCATGCAAAGATTTAAAAACAAACAGTAAAATTTTAAAATCAATTCTAAAATGAACAGGGAGCCAGTGCAAAGAAGCGAGTACAGGGGTGATGTGTTCGCGCTTTCTGGCCCCTGTTAAAAGTCGTGCTGCTGCGTTCTGGACCAACTGCAACCGGGAGAGGGTTTTCTGATTGACACCAGCATAAAGTGCGTTGCAGTAGTCCAGACGACTGGAAATAAAAGCATGCACAACCTGTTCTAACAAGTTAAAAGATAAAAATGGCTTCACTTTTGATAAAAGCCGAAGATGATAAAAACACGATTTTAAAACGCCATTCACTTGTTTGTCAAATTTAAAATCACTGTCTATAGTCACGCCAAGGCTGGTGACTTTGGAACGCACATAATTTCCTAATGGTCCCAAGTCAGTAAGGGCCGGTCCAAATGTTATAATTTCCGTTTTTCCCTCATTCATTACTAAAAAATTCTGGGCTAACCAAGCCTTGACGTCACATAGACAGTTGAGCAGGGGCGTCAGGGGGGCATGGCCTCTCGAAATTGGCATATAAATTTGGCAGTCATCTGCATAAAAGTGATAGGACACTCCGTGTCTGTTAAAAATCTCCCCAAGTGGGAGGAGATAGAGTGCAAAAAGGATAGGTCCCAAGATAGATCCTTGAGGGATACCACAATAAAGTAAGGCAGAAGAAGATGTGGCATCCCCCAGCCTGACTGAGAAAGACCTCTCCGACAGGTAGGACCTGAACCACTCCAAAGCAGTCCCCCTGACGCCCACACAATCTCTCAGGCGGTCTAAAAGAATTGTGTGGTCAACAGTGTCAAAAGCAGCAGTAAGATCTAAAAGCACTAAAATGGTGGAGCCTCCAGAATCAGTCAATAAAAGCAAATCATTAAAAACCTTTAAAAGTGCAGATTCAGTACTGTGCAAAGCTTTATATCCAGACTGAAATGGGTCTAAAGTGCTGTTTTCATTTAAAAAAGGTTGCAGTTGTGCCAAAACACATTTCTCCAATATTTTTGAAACAAAGGGTAGTTTTGAAATGGGGCGATAATTTGATAAAACCATGGGATCAAGACCTGCTTTTTTTATCAAAGGCTCAACAACAGCGCCTTTACAAAAGGAAGGCACATTGCCAGTTAGCAAGCTGCTGTTGATGATGTCCCTCACAGAAGAGCCAATAGTGCCCCAAACCTCTTTAAAAAAGCGAGGAGGGACTGGGTCCGTGGGACAGGACGAAGGTTTGAGTTTGCTCACCATCTCAGTCAACACAGACATGGACACTGACACAAACTGACTAAAAACGGCAGAACATCGAGTAGCCATGTTAAAACTCAATGATGAAGGAGTTAGATTGGCTCGAATAGAAGCAACCTTGTCATTAAAAAAGGAGACAAATTGTTCACACGTTTCATTAGTTATCTCCAGTGAAGTGGCTGGATTCGGATTAAAAACAGAACTAATAGTTTTAAAAAGAGTACGTGGCTTACTGATGCTATTTGTAATCAAGTCTGAAAGATAATTTGTTTTCTCAGCTTTAACCACACTTTGGTAGTCCCGGCACTTTTCTATAAGAATTTGGTAAGAAACCTCCAAGTGATCCTTATTCCACCTACGCTCCGCCCT